TCATCTCCATTGCCCATTGGCAGAGAGAAGATCCTGGGTTTGATGGTCCCATGGTCTGACTTTATATGGCTGATTTCACACTTTTAGGTTGTATGGAAACAACAATTTTCCAGGAAAAAAAAAAAAAAAAAGATGTCTAGTGAAAACAGAAGGACCTGAATGGAACATAGTCACACTTCAGTCTTACCTAGGTATAAGAAATGCCCTCAACTAAGCAAGTTACAGCTCACTGTCACAGACAAGCTGCTGTACAAAAAACTCCTGAGAAAACCATGTCAGCACCTCAGTGTGACACCTTAACCTTGGTCTGAGTAAATCAAATGATGTTCAGAGAAGAAAGTCAGCATAAACACCTTCAGTTCCTGACTTCTGGTTTCTTTCAATAGTTGAGGTCTCTGGGAGGATTCTTCTCCCAGAGTAGGAAATGTGGAAAGAACAGACAAGCTTCTCCATGGGGGTAAGAGCAACCCATTGGTATGTGGAGAGGAATGTGGCACACACTGACTCCAGGCAGGTCCTCCAGCCTCACAGTGGGAGCTTGGGCTGGCAAATAGGCCCTGGGCAGCGTCTGTATGCTTTCACTCTAAGTATCTGGGCTCTCTGTTATTGCCCAAAACCCAAGGGTAAAACTCACCCTACTCTCCTGGCCCTTCTTCCAATAGAGAACACAGAACTGAAAGGCAGGCCCCATGTCTTCCAGCTCCACTAGTAAATGATACCCATCTGCTATGACCTTCATCAGAGGTGGGGTCAGGGAAGCTGCCAACACAGAGAGAGTACCATTATCACATCAGAGACAACCCTTAAAAACTGTCTTCCTTCTCCCAGCGAGGACAGGAAAAGAAGCTGCCATCGTGAGCACAGTAACATTAATCTGGAATAACAGCTGGTTGTTTCAGCAGGGCACAGACTTCTCCCTGCTCTACCTCCCAGTACACCTAGATACAGCAGCAGGCTTTGAGCAGAAGGACCATGACTGGCATTGCAAATGGGAGTTTGGCAGTAGCTGAGTTGCACAGAACTTAAAAGGTTTTGAATTTCCTGCAGTGGAGGAAGTGTCTGGCTTGAGGGTCCTGTGTGATCAACAGCAGCAGAATCAGCTGGGCAACCAGAAGTTGAGACACCTGATCAGGCAAGTTCTGCTCCTGGGCATTAGCTTAGCACTAACAAACAGAACAGGAGCTGTGAAACCACTGCTTCTTATGGGAATTTTGGCAGTTATTCAAAGGTGAGAAAAAAAGCAATGAGACTCAGGATAACTCTGGCAGTTTACATGAATCCTGATTTTCTTTTAGTGTCTACATGGTTTAGATAGACTTGGGCTGATGACCTGCTGTGACTTAAGTTTTTGTGAATGTATGCAAGTAAATCTGTAGGTGATTTGCTTCATGCTTAATTTTATATTCAAAGCTTGGTTCAGTCTGGGGTTCTGCTGTGAGGAGTATTAGTGAAAAAATCAGAATCAACCAAGCAGGGATGAAACTACACACTGTACAATTGTGGACTGGGAATCAAGGTAGTATTGAGATCATATCTGCACTACTTATCTACGCCATTCTTTACCACTCTGTTGTAGCTGAAACTGGTTTCAACCTCCTTGCTTTCAAGAAAGGAAGGAAAGCAATGTATAGCCACATACAGAAGAGATGTTCTTAATAGAATTTGCTCTTACATCCAGTGAATTGCCATTAATACCAAGCAATATGAAAACATAATATCCAAGTATGTTCATGAGTGTGCCGCAAATGGGAGGCCTGGAAAACTACTTTATACTTTTAAATGAATAGCTGAGAATCTGCTTAACATGATGTCTCAAAAGAAAAAAGTAAAAAAAAAAGTGATAACAACCCTTGGAAGTTAAAAACAACTAGTGGGCCAATATATTAATAAATGGACATTGCAAGATGCAACTACTAACCAAACATGAGCATTTTATTTATCTCTGTGCTGGCACACTACTTATTATTTGAATTTTGATAAATGAAGAAGTAAGACTGACTCAACTGTTAGTTTTAGGCAGATCTTTTAAAAGCTTTTTCCATGTGTTATCATACTTTAGGTGTATCTATCTACACCTAAGGCTTTGACACTGGAGCTATTTAGTCTAGAAGTACTGTGGGCTGTACTGATGTTCTGACTCTCCATGAACCACACATGGAACTTGTGGGTTGTGCTTAGAATTCCTTAGTTCCTCTCAGACTCAGTGCCAGGTTTCCTAAGAGATGTGAAAGCAGAGGCAAGGGAAACTGAGCAGTGAAAATGCATAAGGGAATTTACAGTGAATTTTCTTTCTCCTTTCAAAATTTGTCCATGTATGCATATTCACATTGCAGCCCACTGCAAGCTGTACCCTCTGAACTTTCACAGCTTAGCCAGAGGATTGTACTGAGATTTCTAAGACAGGACCAAGCTGTCAAATACTGCACTCTACCATAAGAAAGTAGATGCTTTTCTTCATGAAGATGGCCAAGCTAAGGAATAAGCTTCCCCTATCTCTGCCTGACCCTGTGGTCTGGGGCTCAACTCTGTGCCAACATAGCTCCTGGAAAAGGGAAGGATCTTCCATCTAAAGCACTATCTAGAAAACACTTTCACACCAAGAGACACACTCACCAACTCAGGTGGCATTTCTGATGGTGCTGATCCAATGACTGATGAAGGCTTAAAATTTGGTCAGTTCTGGGCTCAGACAGGCAATTTCTTTTCTGCCTAAAACAGATGACTGCTACACATCCCAGACTGAGAGCTGCATTCTAATAGTGACCTCAACAGAGGTTTTCCACCACAGTTTTTATTGCTGAAAGTAGTTGACCACATGGTAGAGAACAGACATAATGATTCCAGAGAAACACTGGAAATAGTATGCTAATTTTAGGCTGCATCATGATTCTTGGGTTGAACTGGGATGCAAGCTTTGCATGAGTTGGAAGGATATGGAGAAAATACCCTGCACTGCTAGGACTGCAGCAACAGTATCCATTTTTCTTTCCTCTTCTGAGGTTACTCTATTTATCAGACAATGTGGGAAGAAGGAATCAGGTCTGGATGGTAGCAGGGTTTCCAGGACAGCATGGGGCAGATAGAGGATGACATGGCTGTTTTCTAGAGTAAGTGCTTCTGTAGGATCAAGTTCTGGACCTTCAGAAGTGACTAGATAACATGGATTAGATGGAACATTGACAGCAACCCTGATTGATCAGAATTCTTTGAAATCAGGGGCAAGAGTGGCCAACTTGCCAAAAGAAATTCCTGGAGTTGTCTCATCTATCTTTGAAGCCCTGGAAATTCAAGCCCTGGTAAATTCAGCCCTGGATCAGGAGGGACTCGTTGAAGAACACAGTATGGTTGTCTAAGAGTGAAACATCCTAAGCCTGCACGAGAGAAGCGGAGAAGTAGGATGTGGTCTCTGTGTTTATGGGCTTCGTGTGACATGCACAGTACACAAACATGCACGTGAGCAATCTCTCAACGCCAAATTCTGAGAAATTAAGACAACCAATGTATCTTAAGCTGAAAAGCAGGACTCACTTGTGATGCGATTGAAGAAACCTTTCAGGGTGCCCCACTCTGATCTTCTAGCACCAACATCTGCCCTTACACGCAGGTTGTAGGCCACAGTGGCTGAGATATCCTCTGTGATGTTACACACTGTGGCTGTGATGAGTGAACATTCACAGATGGGAATCCAGCTCTCATTGGCGTACTCTCGTTCATACTCCCTGAGGAAAGGAAAAGAGAGAAGACAGGCAACAGTCTGATGGGAGATATATCTGTGGCATGGGCTAAGGCTGCTTGCTAATTCTTTCCAGGTGAAACCAGTACTGGGATACCTGGAACTGGAATACCAGGAATGTATGAAATCAGTATGGGTGTGTTTTAGATCTTATCTAGAGAAAATCTCCCAGAGCCAGTTTATTCATGAGCCAAATGCAGTATGATATTGTAGGAGGTGGGGATAGCCAACGCAGTGTTGATGCATCAGATCCTGCCCACTCATTTGACTTGATCATCCCCGGTAAATCAGAATTCCAAAGCCATACTGTGAAACAAGTCATAGCTCGAGATGTATCAGAAACCTCCCATAATGTGTGTTAAATGTTTAAAACATCAACACTGAATAAATCTCCAATGTTTTCTCTTTCCTCTTCTAAATAAACTGTTGCTAATCTTCCTAAACTATTTAATTCTTTGGACAGAGAGAGTTTTCACATGGGGGCTTAATGCATGCCTTGGATTACTCAGGTAATTAACCTGTAAACGGTCTCAGAATTATCTCAGTCTCAGAATTATTTCTTTTCCCTACTTGTGATCAAGTTGGTTGGAGTATCAAACTGATCCTGTGTCTGTGAACTGAATAGTGCTCAAGATATCCAAACGGTGCAGAATTTTAAGTCTAAGTAAACAGTGTTCAAAGAGGAATGAAGAAAAAAACCAGAAGTTACCCCTGAAACTCAACAGAGTATCTCACAGTTTCTCCCTGGACAATCACAGGACTCCAAGTTAAGAAGTGTTTCATGTTGGTAGAAAGAATAGAGATATTCTGAGGTGCTGGCAACAAAGCATCTTCACCTAAAATTCCCAGCAAAAGGAAAAAAAAAAAGGAAAAAGGTATATGAATGTACTAGAAAAAAATCTCAGAATGGTGCAAAACTGTGTTTTGCATCAGATATACACACTCTTAATTTCACTACTGTCACTTCAGTGTTTCAGAGTATTTTACAGAGAATTAAAAAATGACAAGCAAAGAGCAATGACAGAGCAGTTAGGCTGGCACTGCTTACTGAAAAGCAGAGCATGCCTTTTCATATTTCAGAGTTTTTCATTGTATCAGTAACAGTGAGAAAAGGTCAAGATTTTATAAAGCCATACAATTCAATTTAATGAAGTCAAGTAACAGATACTCTATTTCTCTCTGTAGAATGTTCCAGTGGATGTCATGGTTCGAAATGTGTTATTTCTTTCCAGGCTTGTCTGGACTGGACACTATAGAAGATCCTACCTCTGGTACAGCTTTTTCATGTTGCAGGATTCTAATAATATAAGTGCTTGTAGGCCGTAATCAAAGTACCTCTTAATAGAATAAACTTATTCAGTGGACTATAAATGAAATTATTACATTACTCTGAGGTCCTCAAAGCATAAGTAGGGGGTTGTACCTACAGTGTAGTTAATTATATCCTATGGCATCTTAATGTAAAATCCTTATCAGCATTTGGACCAGCGCACAGTCAGGATTCCCGAGGGACACATCCTGCACTTTACTATGGGAACAGACTTACCTCTCTCTGTTCTGCTGCTTTCCACTCCCAAGGAACCACTGGAACGGAGGAATGGATGGAATGGTTGCACCCAACCCAGCATAGCAGTTGTCACTTCAACACTCCCCCAGAAACAAGGTAACTGTTCTATCACAATGTATCTATGTTACTTAAAGATAACTTCCTAATTATTATTTTTTTTAAATTATATATATCTATCACCAAACAAGGTCTATCTTCCATTAGTCTTTAACTATCTTTTAAAGAGGGTGTCTTCTTTTAAGATGTGTTCACCAAGTTAACCAGTTAATGTCCATTGTTCTACCCAAGATCAAAACCAGGTTGACAAGTCCATGAGCAATGTTTTCATGATGATTATTCTTTTAAAACATTGGAATAACATCAGTATTCTTTCTGCCCTTAGAATATTCACTGTATTCATAACTTTATAAAATCACCAATGATGTGGAGAACCTTGATGCCAACTCTTTTATGATTCTTTGGCATTAGATATATGGATCTGTTGACACGATGCTCAGCTGTTCTTTAAACTAAGAGTCAGATATTGCCATTTAGACAGCAGAAGAGTCACTGCCATATCAGCAGTTCTATCGCTTCTGGCCAGTTGAGGGTCCATAGTAGTGTCAAGGCAATTTTTGTCTTTTTTTAAAAATAAGAAGGCTTTATTGACCTTGGCTTTGCAGCTTAATCACCCATTTGGTTTCTTGTATTCTCCATGGTTCTCAACATTTAGATTGTTTGCTACTACTTTACCTTGTACTCTTGGTTCCCGTGTTCATTTGGGGAGTTGGCATACCTAAGTGTGTGAATTATGTAAAAGGCTTCAGTTACATGATCAGACACTAGTTTTTCCACATGACTCATGCACACAATGGTGTTCCAGGTCTGAACAGGGGTGTACTGCACTGGAGTGTTTCCTAATTTTTTTAAGTCATTGACTTTAGTACTTTTTGCATATATATATATATATATATATTTTTTTTTTTTGTATGCAACAGTTCTGAACCTAGAAAATAGACTAATGATGTAACAGCCCCAAAAGCTAAAGGAATTTCTCTGTAAGCTAAATGGTGAAAATGAAAGCCATATGTCTTTAACTCATAGAAACATAGCATTTTAGACAACAATAATAAAATATGCTAAACAATCTCTTTGGCTCTAATTCTAACCTGAAGGCTCTGGGAACATCCTCTCCCTCATTTACTGATTGCACAAACTGACTGCAAAAGGCAAGACCCTAGTACATACCCCTTGCCTGTTCTTCTCCCCAGCACCAGGGATACAAAGCCTGGACTCCCAGGCTAGGCAGGAACACGCTGTCTTCTGACCTGGTGTCTGTTCTGCACAACTGCAGGGGTGGATTTAGACATAAACATTGAATCAAAACGTGTTATTTGCTCAAAAAGGAGACTAGGACACAAATTTTTGTATTTCAGATCAACACCAAGAGGATGGGGGACATAGTGTATGTTATCCCACCTTTCTCTCCTACTGCCTGTCACAGTGTAGAAGACAAAATTGGCTAAGTATGCAGCTGAGCAAGGCTCAGTCACTACACGCACAGATAAAATGGCTCCTGTGCGGATACAGTACACAACTAGCCAGGCCTTAAACAAAAATACAGTAAAAATAAAACCAGATTTCTTTATAGTTGCTCAGCTCTGCCATCTTTTGAAAAACATTTCCCATAATCTTCTTTACTCCACAGAATAAACTTTCAGAGTTTATGCAACTTGACGCTGAGTCAGTGGTTTCCATACCTAGCTACCAAGAACTATAAATAATGATCCAAAGTGTTTTCCTGGCTAAGGAAACTATAACAGTATTTTTTCTGAGACAGAGAAAAAAAATGCAGCAAGACACAACCTGAATTCAGGAGCGAAGATGGCACATTTAGAAAGACAAAACTGAGCAAAATTCAAGCACATTGGCAAGCCATGTTTGCTTTCCAGAGGACTGACCATTGCAAAACCACTGAAGTGTAGTCGGAACATCTGAGGCCAAATTCCTTCTCAGAGATGCATTTGGAGCCTTCCGTTTACTTGGAGAAGCAGATTACAAATTGCACAACCTCCTTCCCGGGTAAAGGAGACCCTCAGAGAACACTTTAGAGCTATTAACACCTTATACCCTTCCTCTCTGATCCACTCCACAGGCAGAGCATCCCCTGCACTCAAAGAGACCAGCAATAAAAGAGGACTTGAAAGTTCAACGTCCCACTGAAGAGCAAAAGAGCAGAGACAAATGCAGTTTTAGTAAGTTAATTTTCTTCAAACTGAAATTCCCCCTTACATTTCAGAATTAACTTGCAGAACATAGAATTTATGATTGTCTTCTTCATTTGCTTATGCTAGTATTAATTTTAGACAAAGAATTAAAATTCCACATCACCTGACCTCATACTATTTGGCTTAAGTTTTGTAAAAGCACGTGTAACAAAAGGGAAAAAGAATTCTTGTTTCTCACAAGCCCTTCGTCTTCTGACTTAAGTCAACTGAAGATATTTTAGCCATTTACCTGTGAGATTTGATGCAATCAGAGCGCAGAGGAAGAAGCAGAGGAGCTTTAGTAACATTTTGCTCACGCTTGTCGCCTTTTCCCACATTCATACCCTGTTGTGCAGCTCAGAAACTTCCCATCCTGGACAGTGAGCTCTATCTGAGCCAGCCATGATGCGAGCAGGGTGGAGGCTCCAGGGGAATACTGCAAACACTGCTCCTCGACCTGTCCGTGCCAATGCCAAAGTCATATGTGCATTGTTTGTAAGGGTGTAGTTACAGGGAGTGCCCAGGTAATCCGATTTCTTTACAGGTCTGTGCAACTGCTCAACTAGATGACATAACTCGGTTTCACTTTGTAATTATATGTATTAAAAAAAGACATTATAAGGAGGAAACAGGATTCATTGGATATTTCCATGCAGTTTATGTAGCTGTAAGAGCTCACCTTTCTGCTCAGCCCCCAAACTAGATAGATCTTGATGCTTCCACGCACCAGGCAAGTTCCCCAGTGTTACTAAGGTATGCCTGTAACCACAGACCTCGCACAAAGGACTGGTGAAGGACTGTGGGCCTCTGGGCTGGCAGAAGGGATTTGTGTGCTCCTATTTATATTCAAATACTATTTTTATGGAAGCTGTGTTGGGTGTGTACTGAGGAGGACATTGTGTTTTCAGATCTGTTTTGGTGCAGGCACATGTATCCCACGGTTCTGCCATGTGCCAACGTCCACTGCTGTCCACCTCACCTCTTGAGCAAAGGCAGGCTCTTCAGCTGGACGCAGCTCTGAGACCTTCTTAGAAACCCAAACTGCGCACTGGCTCCAAGGCTGGAGCAGCAGCTACCTTTGTGCTTGTGAGGCTGGTTTATTCAGAGGCCAAGGGAAAGAAAAAAAGTAGATGGAAGATTTTTATGTTCTGCAAAATGACACTTAAATTCAATTAAATTCTGACTGTACAGATCATGGCAGAAAGAAGACAAATCCTGTCATGTGTTTTAGCTCTGATGAAAGTAAGTATTAGAAACTTCTCCTCTAAAACCTTTTACTTCTCCTTACAGATTGTCATGTTAGAAAGGGCTTTTTTTTTTTTTAATATTTCCTTTCTGATACCTTTTAATAGCAAATATGTGCCTCCTGTTTTCACTAGTGAACTAAAGGGATCTGTCAAAATATGTTTAGTCCATATTTTCTGAGGATAAGAAGGATCTTTTTTTATTTATTTATGAAAGAATAAAATTTGTATTCAGTTAATCACAGGTCTCCAGATTCTCAGACATGAAGGAACAGCACAAGCAACTACACTCCAAAGTTTGTTCTTCTCTTCCTTTCCTCTTTCTTTCACTTATTTGCTTTCTTCTTTCCTTCATTTCTTCCTTCTTTTCCTTTCTCTGCTGTCCCTTTCCTTTCCTCCTTTCTTTGTTCTTTCTGTCCTCTTTCCTTCCATCCTCTTTCAATTTCCTTTCTTCCTCTATTCCTATCTCCCTTCCTTTCTTCATACCTTCCATCCTTCTTTTTCTTCCTTCCCTCCATCTTTGGGACACACTGAAAAGCACATGCCAAGCATTTCCCAAACATGGGGAAGTATTCCTTCCATGATATAAGGATGTTCTCTGAAAGTATTTCATAGCTTTCAGGTAAACTTTTATCTTCTTGCTCTTCATTATCCTCCATGTCCTACTATATTTATTGGGACCAGCGCTGTTCAAGATCTTTGTTGGAAACATGGACAGTGGGATCGAGGGCACCCTCAGCAAGTTCACCCACGACCCCGAGCTGTGTGGTGGGGGACACGCTGGGGGCAGGGGTGGCATCCAGAGGGACCTGAACAGGCTGGAGAGGTGGGCCCAGGCAAACATCATGTTGTTCAACAAGGCCAAGGGCAAGGTCCTGCCCATGGGTTGGGGCAATCCCCAGCACAAACCCAGGCTGGGCCCTCGAGGAGCGGCTGGAGAGCAGCTCCGAGGAGAGGGACTGGGGGGGATGGTGGGGGGAAAACTGCCTGTGAGCCAGAAATGTGCACTCGCAGCCCAGAACCCACCCGTGCCCTGGGCTGCAGCCAGAGCAGGGGGGGCAGCAGGGCCAGGGGGGGGATTCTCCCCCTCTGCTCCGCTCTGGGGAGACCCCCCTGCAGTGCTGGGGCCAGCTCGGGGGCCCCCAACAGCAGAAGGACACGGAGCTGCTCGAGCGGGGCCAGAGGAGGCCACGGAGATGCTGGGGGGGCTGGAGCAGCTCCCCTGGGGGGCCGGGCTGAGAGAGTTGAGGGGGTTCAGCCTGGGGAAGAGAAGGCTCCGGGGAGCCCTTCGAGCGGCCTCCCAGGGCTTAAAGGGGGGGCAGGAGAGAGGGGGAGGGACTCTGGGTCAGGGGGTGGGGGTAGGGTGAGGGGGAATGGCTCTAAACTGACAGAGGGCAGAGTTAGATGACATAGAAGGCAGAAATCCTTCCCTGTGGGGGGGGTGAGGCGCTGGCCCAGGGTGCCCAGAGCAGCTGTGGGTGCCCCCTCCCTGGAAGGGTTCAAGGCCAGGTTGGACGGGGCTGGGAGCCCCCTGGGCTGGGGGAAGGGGGCCCTGCCCGGGGCAGGGGGGGGCACTGGGGGGGCTTTGAGGGCCCTTCCAACCCAAACTGTTCTGATTCTATGAAATGGCTGTTCTGAAAACTAAAAGATGGGTATTGGGGTGGGATTAGTGCTGTGAAATGCATGCAGTGTCCAAGAGGAAAGCATAATATCTTATTGCTAACACTGTTAAAGATATTATGCTTTTGCTGGAAAGCAAAATAACTATTTGCAGAAGAAAGGCAAAATCTAATCATCAGTTGAAAAAAATCTGTTCTCTTGTTGTACTGAGAAGGTATAAATAAGGCTATCATGAGTTTTGAGCTATCATTCAGTTAGGCCTGGGTAGCATATCTGATTCTTCACTGGATTATGTCTTGTGGTGCCATAAACATGCAGATGTGTACACACTGATTAAATATTCAGACATGAGTTGAGATTTATCTCAAAACCTACATGATCTGTTATGAATTATGGCTCATACCATTCACTTTATTACAGAAACAGATGTACAGAAAAGAGTTTACATACAATTTGCAATAAATTTATTGGGATCAGGTACACAGCTAGAAGTTTTCCTTTCCAAAGATTTCTTGTTGTCTGTGAGCCAGTGAGCCTCCTTTGCAAAGGTGAGGAAAATTAATACAGCCCCATAACACAGTTAATCTGTTATGAGCAATAAAAGTGGTAGAGTGAGTCTGTCATAATAATAAAGATTGCAACTGCCATGAGTTATCAACAAGACTCTAAAATGAAAATTATAATAATATTATTCTGTATTTCCTTCCTTGATCATAGCCACCTAAGGCACAACATAAGCATAGAAATGGATTTGTGGGGCACCTAAACAAAACCTGAGGTGGAAGCTGAAAGTAGTGTATGTACAGGGCTAAGTTGTGCAAAACAGGAGGCTTGGGATAGAAGTGATTATTCAGATTACAGCAACATTAGAATAGAAGTGACAAAATACCTTCTGAGATTTTCCCTTATTTTAAAATGCTATATGGAAATATTTGTCTCAAAAGAGATAGAAGTACTCTTTCAATTTTATGGTTTTGCTTTCAGAATTTTATTGGTTTTACAAGTCATTTTGAACTTGATGAAATGAATGTTTTCATAACTTTTCCTTCACAATTATGGTTAATGTTTCTGTGAAATATTTTTATGTTATTAAGCATGTATTTCTAAAGATAAAAGTTATTAAGCATGTATTTCTACAGATAAACATCTGTCTGATCAAGTTTGGTTTGTAATGCTTGCCTTGTATTTCTAGTAATTCAGGCCAGCGGTTACACCAGTAAGCCTGGATATAGAGATCTGATTCAGTTCTACTTGTTTGAAGATTTGTGATCTTGGATAAGGAACCTGACTTTTCATTACAAAACAAAGCACTGGACTTAGTTAAAACAACAGTTTAAAGAGCTGAGAAAAAACACTGAGAAAAATATTAAAAATTCACAGAATGGTAGAAGTCAGTCAGAACTAGAACCGTATCGGTAAGAAACTACTGAAAGAGACTACTACTAAAAGGTAATTTCCAACAGTTGCCTTATTTTGAGGTATTCTGGATTATTTTTGCTCATACAAATCAATGCAAACTGTTGCAATACTATTTGGATGGTCAGTTTAGCACTGTTTACCATCAGCATCACAATCATTGGCCCAGGAGATGGACAGAAATGGGAATCTGTTGCATCAAATTTGACTAATATAATTTTGATGATACTCAAAATCTACAACCAGAAAAAAAAGAGACTGTACAGCCCTTAACATGCTGTTTCAAGTCAGCCATCAGCTTAATCTTGCCAAGAAATAGTGGAGAGATGGACAGAAAGGAAATTGGCAGAATATATAAACAAAGTTGAGCTTTTGGTATGTTCGCTACAAATGAGGAGTCCTAAAATAAATTGGCAATAAATTGATTTGTTAATACTTGGCTAGACTTTGCTTTGCAAGTGAAGATCAGCATAAGAAGAAAAAAGACATACTGAGAAACTGTGGAATTTGGCATATAGTTTTAAAAAGCTGCCACTACAGGGAAAAGGAAAAATTGACTTCCCTAGGGCCTCTGATATTGTTTCTAATGTGTCTGATTGAAAAGGGGAATTCCAAAATAGGTCATGACATTTGCCAAACACATTTGCAACAATGATAATTCAGTTTGTAAAACAGAGGAAATCAGCATTAATCCAAAAAGTAAGAAAAACAGTTGCATTATTTGTTACTATTCTGAAAAAGAAATGTAGCTCAAAACCCAGAAGGATGTTTACAAACATAAGGCTTGCTGATAGATACGTCAACACTTCCTAAGGGAAAACCCAAGGATATCAAACAAAAATACGTAAATCTGATTGGTTTGTTTACATTCTTAGTAAATCACAGCAAGTTTAGCTGTGAGGCTAGCTAATACGTGTAACAGATTTGTTAGGTGAGTGGAAATCACAGAACTGGTCAAGAAAGCTTGAGAAAAACCAGGTGTGCTGGGGAAGAAGTAGTTACCAAGTTGAACTATGCAATTAGTTGCAGGCAGAGATAATATATATGAAATAGACACTTACTCAGAAATGGGTTTGAAATGTGTGCTGCTGGAACTTGAGGGGGAATTACTGATAGCCAAAGACATAACTGCTAAGAATAGTTGCTTGGATTTCCTTATGATAACAAACATATATAAATGCCCAGTCACTATCTTATCAATTCTTTCTGAGGAAAATCCTTTTAAAGATGTGCAGCGGGTAAAACAAGAAGTTGACAGACTGTTTTCAGTGATGAATGGTCCTGCATCTGGGGACTGACGTTTGGGACTATTGCCACTGTGGCAGCCAAGAATAGTGTTCCAGCAAAAGATAGAGAGGGCTAGCTTATATGTATCTTGGAGTCTCAAGCAAACCTTTTCTCTATCTAAAGCAATGATGACAAAGATCTGTTGTCTTTGCTTAGCTTTTTTGAATAAGATGCAAACAGTAAAAAGGCACAGTTGCAAAATGTGAACTGGAGGGCCTTGTTAAAACTTGCCAAATAAAGTAAATTTGGGAGAAAAATGGATGAACGTGTGCTTCCAAAGTGTCTTCTGGGTTTGTTGTGACATGGAACTGAAACTTCAAGTTGCTGCAGTGTGAGGAAGCAGGGCGGTCTGACTAGGGATCCGTTCTCCTTTAGGGAAG